ATACAGAACTCTGAGTAATAATTCATTTAAACTACAATACAGAATCATATTTCCGGCCCCGGCTGACCCCGAGCCTCTCCCATTCAGTCAGGCACATCTGCCCCGTCCCCACGTGTCTCTGTGCCCTCATCCAGCCGTTCCCCTGTCCCTACATAGTTCTGCCCCACTCCCCCATCCCCATGGCCCTGCACCTCCACTCCCATTGAGCTCCTGCCCCAGTCTGTCCTCCCCCACTTGGCAGCTCTCTCTCTTCCCTAGCTGGCCGGGAGCTGCTGCTGTGTTCTATCAACTTGAAAGATTACTGGCAGCTTCCCATAATGCTGCCTTTAGTTCAAACCTCTTACAAATGCACTGAAGTGCCTCCTTTCCCTGAAGGTATCCTGTCCCCCGCTACCCACTTACCAAGGAGGGTGGGATCCTCAGCCACCCCCCAACCCTCTCGGTTCCTTAATACTGCCTCCATTTCCTTTTTAATCTCATCCCAGGTTGACCCCAAATTCTTCTGTATCCACTTATCCAAAAAGACCATTACCCCAGCTTGCACGGACCCGCAACTACCACCATGAGAGCTCACCAGACCCCCTCCAAGCAGCTGCGCGGACTGTTGGGGAGGTGGACTTACCTGGCTGATACTTACCTGTCCAGTGTGATGCATCCGAATCACAGCACCAAGATGTTAGAGGGCTTTCCCTTCACCCCCTCCCCCGGTTCTTGTCCCGCAGACAGAAAGCAGAAGCCCAGAAGTCCGAAGTGCAGGCAATGCGACAGTTATTGGGGTTAGCTCCAAGCACACACATCGGGAGCTCTACACGCCAATAGTGTCTGTTCCCCAGTGCTCTGTTCCCAGCTCTGACACTGCAGAGCCTCGCCTGTGTCCCCGATCCCTAGTTCCCATTTCCAATCTCCTCCTTAGCAGCCCAAATATACCTGCCGGGCAGGCCCCTAGTCCCACCCCTTACAACCAGGGGTGGCGAGTTGTATGGGCCCGTGGTGCCGGGCTCCAGCAATATTCAGGGCCCGGGGGCCCGGCTCCACCAATGTTTGGGGCCTGCTGCGCCCCCCCCCCACATCTTCCCCAAGTGTGCCCCCGTCCCCACTTGCTGCCCCCGCGCACCTCCCCCAGGCCCCTGAGTGTCCCTGCCTCTCCCTTGCAGCTCCGCTGACTTGGCTGCCAGCATCAACTGCTGCCGCAGGGTCCTAGTGCCTCCCATCCACTAGTGCCAGGGCAGGCTGCCCTTCCCCTGCCCTTCCGCCTCGGACCCTTCCCTTTTCCAGCGGGACCCTCCACCAGCACAGGGCCCCCCTGCCCGCAGTCACTGCTCCTGCCCCACGCTGGGCAATGGGCAGCCCCACCCCCACCCCCAGTGAGGCTACAGTGAGGGGCAGCAGCAGGGGCGGAGGCGCATACGTGATGGCAGCCCCCCTCCCCTGGCACCCACCACAGGGGAGGCGAGGGGGCTTCCTGGACCTGAGAGGGGCCCTAGGAGCACGTAGACTGACAGTGGTGCGAGGTGAGTGTGGTGCAGGGGGGGAAGAGGGGTCCCTCACCCAGAGCTCACTGCTACTGGTGGGGAGAGGGCTGGGGGGAGTCCTCCTCTCTGGCCTTTGCCCTCGGGCAGCCTGTGTGCACCCCAAACTCCTCATCCCCAGCCCTGCCCCACCCCAGAGCCCTCACCCCCACACCCCAACCCTCTGTCCTAGCCCTGAGCCCCCTCCCACACCCCAAGCCCCTCATCACCAGCCCCACCCCACAGCCCTCATTTTTCCATTATTTTAAAAAATATACAGTAACTCCTCGCTTAACGCTGTAGTTCTGTTCCTGAAAAATGCGACTTTAAGTGAAACGATGTTAAGCTAATCCAATTTAACCATAAGAATTAATGTAAATAGGGGGGTTAGGTTCCAGGGAATTTTTTTCCCCAGACTAAAGACTGTATTTTATATATATATATATACACACACCCACATATACACAGTATAAGTTTTAAAACAATTTAATACTGTACACAGCAATGATGATTGTGAAGCTTGGTTGAGGTGGTGGAGTCAGAGGGTGGGATATTTCCCAGGGAGCCTTACTGCTAAATGATGAACTAGCACTCGGCTGTTGTCAATGCAGCCTCACACTCTACAAGGCAGCAGGAATGGAGGGAAGGGAGACAGTGGGGCAGACAGAGACAGAGATACACACCCTGTGTGTGAGAGAGAGAGACACACACATTGCCCTTTTAAGTACGCTGACCCCACTCTGAGTACATTGCCGATTTAAATAGATCAGCAAGTTGAGACAGCAGCTGCTGCCAGCAAGCTCCCTCCGTCCTGAGCCCTGTCGTGTCCTCCTCTCCCCCTGCTCTATGGAGATGGGATATGGGGTGGGGGGAGGGGTACATGCTGACATCAGCACCCCTCTCACAGTAAGCTGGAGGCTCAGGGAGCAGCTGCAAGGCAGAGGGCAGGAGCAGCACACGGCAGTGGGGGGAGGGGCAGCTGAATTGCCAGCAATTGATAGGCTGCTGGGCCCCCCAGGGAACTCAGGGGAGCTGATGGGGGGGCTGCGCTTTACAATAGTTAGCTAACGGTACAAACAACATTTGGAAAGATCATTAAGTGGTCCACCGAGACCCTCAGCAATTTTCCAGTGCTCCGCAAAAAAAGTTTGGGAATCACTGATCTAATTGATCAGTAACATAACAAAACATTAACCAGGACCAGTTTAAGTGAGAGTTACTGTATATTGGCTGACAAAGCAGGTGGTGGAGGGGGAGACTTGGACCTGTTCTGGGCACCACCAAAAATGATACAAACCTGCCGCCCCTGCTGACAACCTATGGTCATGTTCTGTTTTGGAGGGTCATCAGTTGGGGTCTTCATCCCACCCCTTTGGTACCTCCTGGGAGAGGTAAGGAGTAAAGTTGTGGTCTGGCCACGGCCAGGCCTTTCTCTGCCTTTTAGTGTTTCTTACGCCTGCCCCCCAGACTTCCTTGCCCCTCCTAACTGGTTGCTTGACCTCGCCTTGAGATAAGGAGCTGAGGCAGTCTTCAAGTGTGCGCTCGCCTATACATTCCCACCATGCCCAGTAACACTTGAACTGCTCTTCTCTATTCCCATTATACTAACAAATCCATCAGGTTTAGGCAAAAGCAACATTTACAGTGTCTGTCTGTTCTTAGCAACCCTAACCCTTTGTTCACACGTATTAGTAAAAATGTAGATCTGCCCCATGGGTGGGTGCTGCCCCCTGCTGGTCACAGTGATGCGGCCCCAGGGGGCATCTCCCACGGCACAGGAAGATCAGTAGCACGTGGGTGGCACAGGGCCGGTGTATTGCGGGTGCAGATGTGGCGGGCGCGGGGCCGTCAGTCCCAGGGGAAGGTCATGCCCAGACCCTGCATCCGCTCCCGGTAAACGGTGTCAAATCGTTGGCTCTGTGCCTCCGAGAGATGGTTCCTCCAGTCACCGCAGATCCCTGCAAACCACAGGGGACATGGTCTAAGGCAGGGATCTGCAACCTAGGGCACGCGTGCCAAACACGGCATGTGAGCTGATTTTGAGTGGCACGCAGCTCCCTGCCGTGGTCCCGGCCCCCCGCCCACTC